TTTTCACTTCACAGTTTTGGACTTTTTTGACATCATTCACATGTTTTTGGAAATTGTTTGGGAATTATTTTACATGTGTTGAAGATTGTTTGGGAATTATTTCACATTTGCAGCAATGATTGGTGATCATTTTATAGCCTATCCCGCACTCAATGAAAACTCAGCACTTCACGAGAGGGGAATCATGTAGATAAACACAGAGTGAAACGCTAATGAAACTCGTGCAATTTTATGTTTTGTAAAGTTCCACACATTCACTTTAGTTAAGTTACTGAAAGCTTGTTGACTGTTTGCTTTAAATCGGACGATGACTCCCCCCCCCCCCCCCCCCCCCCCCCCACCACACCTCCTCCCCCACCCCATATACTAAAAATAAAGGCATAATAAAATATATATATTTGTTGACACACTAGTTGAAAGCACTACTATCACGCTATAGTTCATACCTTGTTTGCCCTTAGCCAGATTTTTAAGGAATTCATTCTCTTCTGAAGTTTCGATTTCTGCCAGTTTGCCGTTGTAGACTTTACATATCGCCTGTAATTTAATGATATAAAATTACTAATTTCTTTCTTACTTATAACAGCAAAACATTTGAAACATATCTTTATTGACTTCTTCTTCTGCTTCTTCTTCTTCTTCTTCTTCTTTTTCTGACTTCTTCTGCAGGATGGACTTCGTCTCTTCTTCTTCTTACTTCTGCTTCTTCTTCTTCTTCTTCTTCTTCTTATTCGGTCTCTTCTTCTTTTCTTCTTCTTAGGATTCTTCAGGTCTCTTCTTTTTCTTCTACTCTTCTTCTTCTTCTTTCTTCCTTCTTCTTCTTTTCTTCTTTCTTCTTCTTCTTACTTCTTCGTCATTTTTATTCTTATGACTTATTCTTAGTGATTCTTTGATTCTTCTTCTGCTTCTATGCCTCTCCTATTCTTCTTCTTCTTCTTCATTCTTCTCTCTTCTCCTCCTCCTTCTACCCTTTCCTCCTCCTCCCTCCTTCATCAAATATTATTTTTATGGTATTCCGGTTGCTATTTTCTTCGCCCCCTCCCAACCCCCACCCCCCACTTTTTTTTTGTGTAATCTGTAGTTATGACATCGTCGGCTCTGTGGCTAAGTCGATGCGAACGCTTTGCTTCGTAATGCCGGGATGCCAGGTTCGATCCCAGCTGCGGGCAATGCTCCTTGCGTTGGTTTCGACAGTGGTTTCAGGGAAAGCCAACCGTCCAGAAAGCAATGGCAAACTACTGGATGTAAATTGCCTAGAAAAACCACACAACAGTTAGGGGCTGTTAGGGTTGGTTCCGCAACGTCCTGTAAAGGATACGCAACTAACTAGTTATGACAGAACTGTACTTCTCTCCTGTTTTATTTTCCTAATTTTTAACTATATGCAGGCTGTCTCTCCTTGACACATACACACACGCGCGCGAGCCCACTCACGATCGCGCGCGCGCACACGGACTCACTCATATACTTACTGTCAGGAGTCAAGCTTACCACACACTGTGAGAGAAGGACAGTCAACGACTAGACTTTCACTGATAACAGCACTTGTCGGAGATCTCCATGAGGTTGTTGCTGGAGTCAGGTAATTTGTGTTTTGTTTTGTTCTGACCAAATCTTCCCAGCGGACCAGAGACAAAGCCATATGATGTGGAACACGGCGCAATGAAGTGTCATTTGCAGAGTTTGGAACTCAAAGTAAAATAAGTGATTGTTTTCATTCTCGCATTCTGTTTGTTTGGGCTAAATCTCGTTGTCTGGAGATTTTGTTCAGTTACCAGTGATACAGACCGTATACGTTCGACATGTAAACTGCTGCATTGTGTCTGTCTACGCACAGTCTGTCTCCGCACAGTCTGTCTACCTCGAAAAGATGTTACATAACAGAGGCAATACCTGAGCAGCTCCCCAGGCGGCCGGAGACTCGCCAAAACCGTAGCACGATCCTCCAAAGTAGTGCCATCCTTCTCGACAGAACTGGCTGTCAACTGAGACAAGGACGTTGTGTAGCTGATATAAACATCACTCATTTTGCACAGATTAACAACTTTATTTGCTCGTTTATTATCAGGTTTCACGTTATCCTGTGCGGTGTTATTGCCTCTTTGGCTTGCGTGTCTGTGTACATAGCCAGGTAGGTATAAATGCATTAGGTCAGCAGCTGGGGCCTAAAACTCTGATGGGCGAACATGGAAATTTGTTTTTTTTTTCAAATACACAGCTGTTGGAGATCGAGGATGCTCTGGAAACCATCGACCTTGTGTGCATCAACAGTGTCACAAAAATTGCAAGCCGACCAGGAGATGAGGACAGCGTTATTGACCTGGCACTTGTGTCCCCACCACTAGCTACCATCAGATGGGGTGTCCGGGGACATCACGGCAGTGACCACCATCCCTGCAGCATGGTGGTGGAGACAGGCAGATCTAGGAGTCACAGACACAAAGTGAAGATCTTTAAATACGACAGCACAGGGCAGGATGTGGTGGGCGGGAAAAGGCGTTTGAAGCGCGGGAATCAACGCTACAATAGGACAAGCTGGCAACAATCTTCCAGGGGAATGTTTGGGTAGAAAAGGCTTGGGTAGACAAACAATGGGCGGTGAGGAAGTAGCAGAATGCTAGAAAAATAGAAAATGCTCAGTCAGACTGCATCCTGTTTTTAAAACATGACATCGACATAAATACCGACCGTTTCAAAACCCTAAAGAAGACAGTGAAAAGGGAAAAGTGGGCAGAACTATGGGAACAGGTGAGCAGAGACAAGTCATTGGAACTCTTCTGGCGACTCAGCAAGAGTATGAATATAGCAGGGAAGAGCAGAGGCATTCCTGACTTCCAGACCGCAGACTTTGCCTGGCAGAGATCAGACGAACTTAAGGGCAAAGCTCTGTTTCGCCAACTATCTAGAACAGAGTGACTAGAAAAACCAGCGAGTAAACCACAAGGTCAGAGCAGCCATTTTAGATATGTGTAAGACCCAGGAAGTTGATAATAAGGACATAGTGACAGTCGATAAGATTAAGACGGCACTACGACGGGCAAACAACAGCGCACCGGGTTCAGATGGCAAACGATAAAAAGAGTTGGGCAAATGTTCTGAAAAGGAGCAAGCGGAACTAGCAGCTGTTTACAAAACATCTTTAGGAGCGAAAAAATAGAAGAAGAGTGGACATGCAGATGTTTAATACCTCTCTCGAAGCCTGGCAAGGACCACACAAAGATCTCAGGATACAGGGTTATAACAATGGAGAACACGTTCGGTAAGCTGGTGGAGAACATTATTGTCAAAATATGGCTCGAAAGACTGGGTGTCTTTCCGCCTACCTTTGGAGGCTACCGCCCTAACAGAGAAACTTGGAGTAATGCTGCTGTTTTTGCCTACGACGTATGTGAGGGGTTCCATTCCAGCATTAAAATCTGTGCAGCTGCTATTGACCTCATGGATGCTTACAACCGAGCACCCTTGGACTTGTTAATGTTTTGGCTACTAGAAACAATGTCAGTCCTTTCCTCCTCAAATGGATCTCTGCAGCCCTTCTACAATGAATAGTTGTATTTAAGTGTGGCAGCTGGGCCTCTGAACCAACAACAATATATCCTGGTCTGCCCCAGGGTTCATCCCTATCTCCAGTATTATTCAATGCCTACATTGTGATAATCACAGGCATTATCATATCCTGAAGACGTTCTGGTCTACCGACAGGGCAAGGACCAGAATGAGGTTGTAGAGGAACTTCAGTCTGAACTTGAATGTATAATCAGTTGGTGTGGTGAGGCAGGAGCACAAGTCAACCCAACGAAGGCAGCTGTGGCGTGGTTCTCGCTAAACACCGCATCGTCTATACTCCAACACCAACTGTTTTTGTTTTGTTATTGTTTTAGCATCCAGAAGCCATGAGTTGTTAACCCTTAGGCTCGGTATTATGGATATCGCAACCTTTCGGCCTTGATTCCATTTTAAATACTGTAAATCTGGGAGAAATATGGCTTTTCTGCCCACCCCTGGGAGTGAATCCGGACAACAAGGAGTTCGTCACCCGCTCACCGCGCAATCCGGTTTAGCCAACTACGCTAGACAGACGGGCCAAAACCAACTGTAAATGTATGCTCCGAGGCGGTTGGAAAGAGCTCCTGCAATGAAATATTCGCGAGTTCATTTTTCATCGCAGTCTGGCTTTTACTGGACACATCGACCATGTGGTAGTGAAGGTTATGAGGGTCATGGCGGCAGCAAACTGCAAACAGCGACAACTCTGTCTTTTATTTCAAGGTCTGGTCCTTCCAGTGATCGAGTATACCCTGATGATCCTCACTCTTAGCTAGACTCAGTTAGAGACACTGGAACAGATTCAAAACGAGGCCATACACATTAAACTTGGGTGCACTAAAGATTCAGCATGCAGAGCAATGCGGTACCTCCTTGGTTTTCCAACAATGGAAGCTAGAATAAAGATCTGTCGAGCACCGGCCTACCTTCAAGTCTGTGTCGATACACACTTATTGCACACTGAATTCAGGAAAGGAAAAGGCAGCAGATTAAAGAGAGAAGGGTCATGGATGGGTCAGGCTGAGGATATTATACAAGAGGTTTGTCTTCTTAAGGACATAGAACTTAGAGAGGATTGGGAACGTCAACCACTGGAGTGTCATACGTCGTTTGGAGTATGCATCAAGCTGAACAGAGAATGTAGACAACAAAAACCAGTAGTTGTGGAAGCAGAAGTGCAGGCCTTGATATGTGAGAAAACTTCTGAGGGTGATGTGATCATCTACACAGACGGTCTGTCATTCAAATGTCAGCAGCTCGTGGGCATTTACGGGTCTAGTGGCTAGACGCACGCCTGCAAATCGGAAGGTTGAGGGTTCGCTTCCTGACGGGGGCCGAACTTTTTTTTTTAAATGACCTTGGCTCCCAGGTCGACCCAGCCTTGAATGGGTATCAGGTACAGTCCTGGGAAGTTGAGGCGGCCGCCGTGACGCTGACATCACCCAGCAGGTGCCGCTGGTCTATAAATATATGTCTAGTACTGTATCAACAGTAGGTCTGAAAGCCGTGGACAATGGTCTAGTACTGTATCAACAGTAGGTCTGAAAGCAGTGGGAAATGGTCGTTTACTTTTTACTTTTACTGATATTCATAAAGAGATAATCAGATACAAAGTTTTTAAAAGGAGTAGAAAATTATAGGGAAGAGAAAAAGTTGGTAAGAAACAACAAATAGTTTATGTTAGCTTTACAAACTCGATCACAATAAACAAACAAAGGACGTTGAGGCAATTAGCCTTCATCAGCACATAAAGGACAACACAGTACACATACACAAATATGTTCTAACTTTGAAGTGACTACATAGGACTCTAATGTATAAAATAAATGATACTCATCTGTTAATCAGATACAAACAGAGTTCGGGGGCTTAATGTATTTATTTCAAGCTCAGTGTGACTTAAAACCATTTATGATGATGATGATGATGAAAGCAGTTCAGTAACAAGTGTACTAGATGACATACCTTGGGTAACAAGCACACAATAAATCAGCACCGCCAACAGTAGGGACGACGCTGTAGCCATCTTGGACGTCGGGTTGTGTGTGTGTGTTTGTTAGCACAAACAATCCTGCCTGAATGTACAGCGAGATTAACAAAGGCCGACTGTGGTTGTGAGTAAGCACTGTTGTCAACTACGATACAGTGTAGATAAGAAATAAAACCGTGCAGCTAAGTTTCGTTTCCTTATCATTGAACAGACAGAGAACACAGTACACACATAGATCGTGACTGAAACAGGCACAGAAAGCAAGGTGATGACAGGCATGCGTCCTGCAGGGTGGCATGCTTCCTGCAGAGTGGCATACTTCCTGCAGAGCGGCATACTTCCTGCAGAGGGGAATACTTCCTGTAGAGTGGCATACTTCCTGTAGAGTGGCATACTTCCTGTAGAGTGGCATACTTCCTATAGAGTGGCATACTTCCTGTAGAGTGGCATGCTTCCTGTAGAGTGGTATACTTCCTGTAGAGTGGTATACTTTCTGTAGAGTGGCATGCTTCCTGTAGAGTGGTATACTTCCTGCAGAGTGGCATGCTTCCTGTAGAGTGGTATACTTCCTGCAGAGTGGCATGCTTCCTGTAGAGTGGTATACTTCCTGCAGAGTGGCATGCTTCCTGTAGAGTGGTATACTTCCTGTAGAGTGGCATACTTCCTGTAGAGTGACATACTTCCTGTAGAGTGACATACTTCCTGTAGAGTGGTATACTTCCTGTAGAGTGACATACTTTCTGTAGAGTGGCATGCTTCCTGCAGGGTGGTATACTTCCTGTAGAGTGACATACTTCCTGCAGAGTGACATACTTCCTGTAGAGTGGTATAATTCCTGTAGAGTGACATACTTCCTGCAGAGTGACATACTTCCTGTAGAGTGGTATACTTCCTGTAGAGTGGCATACTTCCTGTAGAGTGACATACTTCCTGTAGAGTGGTATACTACCCGCAGAGTGGTATACTTCCTGCAGAGTGGCATGCTTCCTGTAGAGTGGTATACTTCCTACAGAGTGGTATACTTCCTACAGAGTGGCATGCTTCCTGCAGAGTGGTATACTTCCTGTAGAGTGGTATACTTCATGTAGAGTGGTATACTTCCTGCAGAGTGGTATACTTCCTGCAGAGTGGCATACTTCCTGCAGAGTGGCATGCTTCCTGTAGAGTGGTATACTTCCTGCAGAGTGGCATACTTCCTGCAGAGTGGCATACTTCCTGCAGAGTGGCATGCTTCCTGTAGAGTGGTATACTTCCTGCAGAGTGGTATACTTCCTGTAGAGTGGTATATTTCCTGTAGAGTGGCATGCTTCCTGTAGAGTGGTATACATCCTGCAGAGTGGTATACTTCCTGTAGAGTGGCATACTTCCTGCAGAGTGGCATACTTCCTGTAAAGTGGTATACTTCCTGCAGAGTGGCATGCTTCCTGTAGAGTGGCATACTTCCTGTAGAGTGGTATACTTCCTGCGGAGTGGCATGCTTCCTGTAGAGTGGTATATTTCCAGCAAAGTGGCTTGCTTTCTGTAGAGTAGTATACTTCCTGTAGAGTGGCATACTTCCTGCAGAGTGGCACACTTCCTGTAGAGTGGCATACTTCCTGCAGAGTGGCATACTTCCTGTAGAGTGGCATACTTCCTGTAGAGTGGCATACTTCCTGGAGAGTGGTATACTTCCTGCAGAGTAACATGCTTCCTGTAGAGTGGTAAACTTCCTGCAGAGTGGCATTCTTTGCTTTGAAGGTTTCGGATGAAACAAATTTTCTAGATCTTTTCTGCGGGGCATACCGGTGTGTTAGGGAATAAACAGGCGGATAGTTTAACTGTTTCTGCACAACTTGGTGGAATATTCATGCATGATAAGACAGGCGAGGTTAGGGCCTTATGAGAGCTTGTGTACAATTAGGAACAGCATTTGTTTGTAGACATCCAGCTTTGCTGGGAAATGAGCAGACTGCAAGGTGTCTAGGTGTCTACTGCCACTCTGTACTCAGAAATTTACTCTTTGATACGTTTGAGTTGAGAAAGTCTCTCAGAGAGACAATAGTTTCAAACCCCCAGTGTTATAGGTGTCTACACGACCGGACATGAATTATTCACTCAGAGAGACAGTAGTTTCAAACCCCTAATGTTATAGGTGTCTGCACGACGGACGCTGAGTTATTCACTCAGAGAGACAGAGTTTCAAACCCCCAATATTATAGGTGTCTGCACGACCAGACATGAATTATTCACTCAGAGAGACAGTAGTCTTAAACTCCCAATGTTATAGGTGTCTGCACGACGGTCACCGAGTTATTCACTCAGAGAGACAGTAGTTTCAAACCCCTAATGTTATAGGTGTCTGGACATAAATTATTCACTCAGAGAGACAGTAATTTTAAACGCCCAATACTATAGGTGTCTGCACGACCGGATATGAATTATTCACTCAGAGAGACAGTAAAACTACCAATTATGATACGTTCTACACGACGGACACCGAGTTATTCACTCAGAGAGACAGTAGTTTCAAAAACCCTAATGTTATACGTGTCTGGACATGAATTATTCACTCAGAGAGACAGTAGTTTCAAACCCCCAGTGTTATAGGTGTCTGCACGACGGACGCTGAGTTATTCACTCAGAGAGACAGTAGTTTCAAACCCCCAATGTTATAGGTGTCTGCACGACCGGACATGAATTATTCACTCAGAGAGACAGTAGTTTCAAACTTCCAATGTTATAGGTGTCTACACGACGGACACCGAGTTATTCACTCAGAGAGACAGTAGTTTCAAACCCCTAATGTTATAGGTGTCTGGACATGAATTATTCACTCAGAGAGACAGTAGTTTCAAACCCCCAGTGTTATAGGTGTCTGCACGACCAGACATGAATTATTCACTCAGAGAGACAGTAGTCTTAAACTTCCAATGTTATAGGTGTCTACACGACGGACACCGAGTTATTCACTCAGAGAGACAGTAGTTTCAAACCCCTAATGTTATAGGTGTCTGGACATGAATTATTCACTCAGAGAGACAGTAGTCTTAAACCCCCAGTGTTATAGGTGTCTGCACGACGGACGCTGAGTTATTCACTCAGAGAGACATTAGTTTAAAACCCCCAATGTTATAGGTGTCTGCACGACATGTGCTGAGTTATTCACTCCGAGATGCAGTTGGTTCGAGTCCCGGTATGCCTCCAGTATCAGCTGTAAATTTATGTACTGTCTATTCTCTTTTCTCTTCTACTGCGATGTAAAGATGTGTACAAGCGTGACACGAATGACACACTGATAGATTCGTGGGTAAAAATGCCATGAACCGGATTGCCTGGAGGGGGGAATTAGGAAGCGAATAAGAATGAAGGAAGATGTGATGTAGAAATAAAAACAGAAGTGATGAAAGCAGAGCTTCTAGGAGCAAACAAACTAAACTACAACAGTGGTCCTGAAATCTGCTGCTGTAATTGTGGAAAACTTGTCTCAACGCGCTCAGGTCTTGCTTGTCCCACTCGCCATCGCCATGAGCTCTGAGTCACATGCCACCTGACAACACAATATAACACTTCCCCGTGTGGGTTCCGGGTCCCAATCGTGCGGAAAACAAGAATAGACCCACTGCCTGCCCAAAAGCATGTCGAAAGAGTCGACTAATTGGGGAGCTTCCTCTAAAGTCGGAGTGCATCTGCCTGAGAGGCAAGGAACCAACAGTCTGGTTCAAGTGAATCAGATCTGTAAAACTGATGCACACGCAACACTCAGGTTCTGGGGCAGGACTGCAGTTCAGAAGTGGACGAACAACCAGAACTTTCCACCAGAGTGTACAGCTGGTGAACGCGAAGAAGAAGAAGAAGAATATAACACTATCGTCTGGTGAGACAGAAACGTGACAACTATTGTCTCCTCAAAAGCTTCGTTTCTGTGAGAACTCAATAAAACCATCATAGTATTTGTAAGGTGGATCCAATGGTCGTGCGAGATAGGGGTTTTTTTTTTTTTTTTCAATTAGTTAATTAGGTTTATTTTGATTTATTGTCACTTCAAGAAATCGGAACCTGTGTTTTAAATGTGATCTGAACACCCCCCCCCCCACACCCGCCACACCCTTTCTGCTGACATCTGATATACCCTAACCACTTTGATATGTTGTCCACGTTTGTAGTCCAGCTTCTACTTGAGAGCGCCATCAAGTCGTTACCTTGCACAATTACCTGCCTGTGGCCAGGTGTCAGATCGAAGCTAAAGAAGATGAGACGCACACAAACTGACCTGTCATTGTTTATGTAACTATAGGCTCACTCAGAGATACTACACGTTACAGGTTAACGCCCTGTTTGACTCTGCAGAAGAAAGTATGTGAACCTCGAGCAATCTGAGGCCTTTCGGTGAGTGTGTTGTCGCATTGCTGTGTATAGATTAAAGAACTGCGTTTTCAATGTTCTGATTTCAGCATGCCATGTATTTATGTAGCCAGTTATGTTATGTGATTATGTAGCCACAGTTATGTTATGTGATTATGTAGCCACAGTTATGCGATATATTTAAGACATGTTATGTATTTTCGTAGCCACAATCACGTCATGTATTTATGGCTAACCCTGACGACATAAGAGTTGTCAGTTTCAGTTAGCTGGCGCCGCGGGAGGCTGTGCTTGTGAACAATAATGTATGTGCCTGTAGCAGCCATCTTATATGTGCATGTGGCAGCTGTGCAGTAGCAGCCATCTTACAAATCACGAACTCTGTAGTTCCAACAACAATCACCAGGAATGTTTGGAAAATCTAGCACCTTTGAACCGAAAATTAACTCACGACTTTAAGCAAATGGTTCGGCCACTTTCACATAAAGCATGGTCACACTAGGACATACCATAATAATAATAATAATAATAATAATAATAATAATAATAATAATAATAACAAAATGATTATAATAGCTACAAGAATAATTTAAATAATGCGGACACAATCAATCACATTTTTTAAAAAAAATTAATAAATCCAACTGTCTGGTGCCGAAGTCTTTTTTCCCGTGACTTGCAATTGTAACTTTGTA